CAATATTCTTTCCATTTGATATAGTGCCTTGTCATGTCATGTAACATTTGGAACTCTCTCCTCCGAAAGGCTGTGGATGCTGCATCCGTTCACATCTGAGGTAGATAGATGTTTGTTAGGTCAAGGTATTAAGGGATATTAAGAGCCAATTGCGGTTAATTGGACGAGGTACAGATCAGCCATGATCTTATAGAATGGAGGAGCAGGCTCGAGGGTCTGAATGGTTTCCTCCTGTCTCTATGTTTCTATGTTTTCCATGAACTCAACTCCCAAACCACCTGGTTAAGGGCAGGTTGGAGGTGGGGGCAGACACAGTTGATTAACATCTACTCTGGAGTTCATCCATCCCTATGTAAACAGAGGGTGGGGTGTGGGGAGAGAGATGGAGTGAAATTCCACAAGACGCCATCTTCTCAGTGTAGAGGAGCTGCGTTGCGTTATTAGTATAATAATAATCCTGGCATTTCATATAGCGTCTTATCATGTCATTGAGACGTTTCAAAGCGCTTCACAGAATGTAGTAAAAAAATGGATTGACTGTGTATTTTGTGAGCAAAATGCAGCAGCCAATTTTGCACAGCAGTGTCCCACAAACAGTCGTTGATTGATGGACAAAGTTTAGGTGGGAGGTATTATTCCACCCAGAAAGCGATCTGACAATCTCCTAACAACCGAGTTCCTACTTATTGCTAGGTAAACCGAGGAGGTGGAGTAAGGATACTTACCAAAGATTTGGCCCAACCTTGGAATCAAACTAGGGTTCGCTCACTACGGAGAGTGCTCTAACTACCACGCTACGGGACTCCATAAGTGACCGGAGTCTGAAGTGACTGCACTGATGGCTTTGGTCAATGCGTTACTGCAGCCTCTGCGCGTGATGTTCTGGGGTTCATCATTTTCCACCATTTTCTCCCTTGTGGTCCTTGCCCTAATGGAAACAGCCCTGTCACATCACATCAAGGACTCTGGGACTGTAATGAATAATGGGTTGCAGTGATTAATCCTTGACCCTTCTAATGCAGTGCGTGCTCCACCACAGTGTAGGGTGTCGTTAAGTCGAGTGCAATATGCAATGAAGACTGAATAATGGCATCACTTTTCTTTAATGGGAACAACCTTTTGTACCAGACTCGCTAATGTCCATAGACAGCTGTCAATTCTTTATTGGGGAATGAAAGACTCCCAGCCTCCCATTAGCTATAATTTGCAACCCATGTTGCGAAGAGCGAGGCTTTGCAGAGGACCTAATGGGAGACCTGCCCTCAGGACTGAGCTCAGACTCCCAAGAAGATCCTTTGTCCCCATCTCCCGCCCTGTACAGGGCTGGAAAAACACTGCATTATCAGAGACGAGATGTTCAACTAAGTGAAGGATTAAGGCTCACGGTGAGGGGCAATGTCAGAAAAAGAGCTTAAGAGGAAGAAAGATTCGAAGGAGAGAGGAGTCCTGTAGAGTGTAGGAGGAAGGAAAGAGTGAGGGAGGTGAGGAGTGTTGTAAAGTGTAGGAGGAGGGAAGAGTGAGGGAGGTGAGAAGTATTGTAGAGTGTAGGAGGGAGGGAAGAGTGAGGGAGGTGAGGAGTGTTGTAGATTGTAGGAGGGAGGGAAGAGTGAGGGACCAAAAGATCAGAAGGTTATGCTTTGAAGGCTTAGTTGAGGAAGGGCAGGAGGCGGCTCAATTAGAGCATAAACACCGGCATAGACCAGTTGGGCCGAATGGCCTGTTTCTGTGCTGTATATTCTGATGTATTCTATGTATCAGTAAACACTTAATTTCAAGGTTGTTTGGGTGATGTTTACTCAAGTTGGTGTCTTCACAGATATCGAGCTTTTATTATTTTGTAACCTGGGTATAATAATAATCCGTGCATTTCATATAGCGCCTTATCTCATTGTTGAAATGTCTCAAAGTGCTTCAGAGAATATACTGTAGAGTGAAGTGACTGTATATTTTATGGGCGAATCGCGGCAGCAATTGCGCACAGCAGCGTCCCACAAAAGTTGTGGAAATTATTATTTTTTGGGGGTGGGTGGGACGACAGAGTGCGGGGGCAGAAATTGTCCGGGAGGGAGGGGGTGGGGCGGTGGGAGCAGTGGGGAGAGTGGGGTGGGGGGGTGAGGATCTACACCACTGCAGGTCCCTCACTCCTCCCTTCCTACGGTCTACAGCCTGACGATGCTTGCCGTCCGGGTGAGGGAGAGGGCGGAGAATGATTATCATTGCAAGAATGTAGAAAATTCTCTTGGGGAAAGAGAATGGATTAAACGGCACGTGTTGCAGTTATTACCTGCGGCATTTAAGCAAAGCCCCAGACATTTCCGATTGAACATTGCCCCATATGGTAATTTACAATTGTCGAACTTATTTTGTATTCAATCTTCATTGACTCAACTCAGCGTTTGAGGTCTAGCGAGATCATCCGTAAAGCTTTGTGGCCAGCTTAAAGCCACTTCTTTCCTCTGAATGAATGGGGGATTTTGAACACCCTTCAAAAGGTCCGAAATACCGGTGTATTATGGAAGATTACACGCGGTGGGTTTAATTGATGGTTTTCAATTTCCAGCAGTCTGGCGAGCACAATAGGGAGGTGACCCACTGGATAGGGCTGTGCTCAGCAGTGCTTCAGAGGAAGGAGAGCTCAGCTCTTTTGTGTGCAATGCAGTCATGTCAGTCGCCCTGTTTTAATGGACTATTACCTCGGTTCCCTTTGCCTCACTGAATGAAAGCAAGAGGAAAAAGGCCGAGGAGCAGCCATCAGGCTACTTAGGCAACTACCTGCAAAGGCATCTCTCTGCGTTCAGTGTCGGAGAAACTTGACAGTGCTGTAATCCAACCAAAGGCAGAGTGCTCTCGGTTGAGGACCACAATAGGATGGTCCAACCTTTATACCGTCCCGCAAAATAGGACCTCACATCCCAACACATCCAATTCTGTCATGGTTGGAAAGCCTGTGTAGAAGTGTAGGAGGGAGGGAAGAGTGAGGGAGGTGAGGAGTGTTGTAAAGTGTAGGAGGGAGGGAAGAGTGAGGGAGGTGAGGAGTGTTGCAGAGTGTAGGAGGGAGGGAAGAGTGAATGAGAGGAGCTGCACAATCTTGAGGTCCTGGGAGAGAATGAGTTTGAAGAGGAAGAGTCTTGAATTCAAGATGCTCATCCTCACCTACAAGGCCATTCACGGCCTTGCTCCCTCCTACCTCTCCAACCTACTATCCCCCTACTAACCTGCCCATACCCTCCGTCCCTCTGGCTCTGGTCTGCTCCACATCCCCCGCCCTAACCACCCTACCATCGGTGGCCGGGCCTTCAGCCTCTCAGCCCCGAGGCTCTGGAACTCCATCCCCCAGTGCCTTCGCCGCTTCCTCCCTTTTCTCCTTCAAGGCCGGTCTCAAGACCTTCCTCTTTGACCGTGCCTTCAGCTCCCCTCTCGACTCTCTACCCCCTCCTCACTCCCTCCCTTCCCTCCCCTCACCCTGACCATTTCCCCCTTGCTCGGGTCCAGCGCCTTGGGATGTCCTCCCGACGTGAAAGGCGCTCTGTAAATGAAATCTTGTTGTTGTTGTTGAATCCAGAGTGAGGTGGCGGAAGAGGGTGTGAGACAGGATACTGGGAGGAACGAGGAGTGGGTAACCCAGAGGAGCAGTGACTTCCAAACAGAAACAAATCCTGAGATATGGAAAAAGTATATCTGTGCTGTTTTGTAGAAATAGATTGTGAGAGAGATTTCTTGACTGGAGCAACGATATTTATGCCATGCATGCACTGTGAGAGCTTTGAGGTAACCCTCATTAAATATAGATGATCCTCATGTCCATTGTATGGCACTAAATGTCTCCATCATGACAGATGTTTGATTGAATACTCTTCTCCCCCACACCCATGCTGTGGATCCAATGATCTCATGACCTAGAACTCTTTAGTCCCATTAAACGCTCAATTAATCGGCCATTAATGACCCAGAACCACAGAACAAAAGCCTAGAGTCTGGCCGTGAACATTGAGGAGAATATTGATTCATGTCAGTATCTTCTTGTAGCTCTTGGCTTCCTTACCACGTCAACTGACCACAAGTCAAACAAACTCCTTGCTCTGAAGAACCTCTCGGAAGCAGGAGTACAAGTACGTTGGAATGTGGAGATGTGTTAAGGACTGGAAGGGGCCACCGCAGTCCACCCAAACTCTTGTCTCTTGACCCAGGCCCCCGCCTTTTCTCACATCATTCCCCTCTAGCTTCCCTGCCGTCAGATACGCACCCGGTTCCCAATGAAACTGCCCCAACCACCTGCCGGCCTTTCTGGCCAAACAATTACTTTATTATGTGAACTATTTTCGCCCACAAATCCACTTTACAATATACATTCTGTGAAGTGCTTTGGGACGTCTCAATGAACGTGATAAGACGCTATATTAAATGCAAAGATTATTATTATTCCTCCTCGTGTAAACCATCCTCTGGCTAAATTGGTTGGCTGGTCCAAACTATTCACCCGCTTGAAACCAAAGAAATTTACAACACTGAAGCAGACCATTTGGCCCACTCTTCCTCCACTCCCCATCTCCCCCCACCTAGATTTTGAGACATGACCCCTTACTGCGGACATCTTGACTGTATCAGATAAGGTATCTAGTGTTGAGTATTTCTCACCTTGCTCCCTCCCGATCCATGTAAAGAGCTTTGAGACATACGTTAGCCTTTGGGAAATGTATCCTACAGGTGCACCTTGTTGTCTAACCTGTCTTACGTCCTCCAGAATCATCATCTCATTGAGTGTTATTTGTAAGGAAGCTGCCCTCTAGTGGTGGTTAATGATCGCCCCAGTAGATGATTTGATGACTCCCGCCTCCGCGCCCCTCAATCTAAAGCTCCCAATCAGTGGAATAGGAATGTTCACTGCAATATGTTTGGCACCAATGCAGCTCTAAGGACTTTGCCACATGCACACAGTCACACAGCAGAACTAGGACTGTGTCCAGGAGAGGATATTGACCCTTCTCTTGTTTACATTGCAGGTTAAAGGTCGATGCTGTTCGACTCTCTCTTTCTCGAGACATCTCCAATGTGATGACTTCTGTTGGTTCTGCTTGGACGAGGTAGGAATAGTGCTTTAAGACATCCGTGGTGTGGTTGGGAAGGAGGGATGTGAGCGCGGTTGTGTCAATAAGCACCATGGGTCTTATAGGAGAGAGGACAAGGTTGTGTTTAGCTTCTATGAAAAAAAAGGTGTTGGAAAAGCTGGTATAGGTGTCGGAATTGGGGGCTTCAGGTCAATAAGCAACTGCGATGCATCAATAGAGATAAATAGATAGATATTCGGATTGCTTAGCTCACCTGGCTGCATTCTTGCCTTTGGGTCAGAAAGTTGGGGTGTGAGCCCCACTGTAGGACACTGAGCTGACACTCCAGGGCAATGCCAGGGCAGCACTGCATCATTCAGATGAGACAGTAAACTGAGGCCCTGTCTGTGCTTGTTCACCTGGACGTTAAAGATCCTGTGACACTATTGGAAAACAGAAGGGAGTTTCTTCTGGTGTCCTGGCCATCAATCCTCCAGGTAAACTGTTCATTCACTTTATGGCTGTTTGTGGGCATTGGCTCAGCAGTTAGCGCTCTCGCTCTCCAGTCAGAAGATTGTGGGTTAAAGCCCCACGTCGGAAATTGGAATCACATAGTCTAGCTGATGCTCCAATGTAGTGTTGGGGGTGTGTTGCATTGTCAGAGGTGCCGTCCTTCGGATGAGACGTTAAACTGAGGTCCCGTCTGCCTGTTCAGTTGGACGTTAAAGATCCTGTTATGCTATTCGAAAAGAAAAGGGAGTTTCCCTCTCCCGGTGTCCCGGCCAACAATCCGGCAGATAAAACTGGCTGTTTGTGGGACATTGCTGTGTGCAAATTGGCTGCTGCATTTTGCCCATAAAATATACAGTCACTGCACTTTACGATGTATCCTATGAAGCTTTGAAATGTCTCAACGACATGATAAGACGCTGCATCAATTGCAAAGATTATTATTTTTATTATAATTGCTGTGCACATATGCCTTCGAATTCACAGTCCCTTTACTTGAGAGCAATTATCCGCAAAGCACTTTGAGATGTTTTGACGTGATAGGTTCTGTGGCAAATGTAAGCGTCAGAGGTAGGGGAAAAAAATGCGGGGAAAAGGGGTTAAAAGAGCTGACATGACTTGTAAATAGGCAGCACAGGCTCGAAAGCTGAGACCGTCCACAACAACTTGCATTTATAGGACACAACGCTCACGCAGGGTGCCATCCCAGAGCTCCCCCTATAGATCAAACAGACTCCACAACGACAGGGACTATTTTAGAGGTGACCGTGCTGTGTAAATATACCTGTCCAGTTTGGGATCCTGACTTCAATCCTCTGTTCGTTGAAATGGAGCTCTTGTTTTCTATTTCTAATTAAGGTGCAGATAATTGGCCCATTGCACTGTATTTGCCCACGCACTGCTAACTCTTCTTCAATTCTTCCGGCTCTGTGCTCTATAAACAACCAGCTGTCTCCAAAGCCACTGTACCAACTCGCTCCATTGACTTGGATCTATTGACACTCACTCAATGTGGATGCAGTAAGTCAGACATTGAAAGTCCCCTGTTGTATCCCAATAGTTATCACCATTTTAAGTGGTTCAACTAGGACCACTCTACCATTGGGGGCTTCGGCTCACAGTGTTGAGGACATCTTTACATCTTACATGTGGATTCCTGTGGTGTATTTGTCTGCTTACCGTGCAGTAAGTAGAAACCGGTTGTTAGTCGATTGGCGGATCAATTTCCGTGGGTAATAATCCCTTCAAAAAAAAATTGCCTCAGTCAATCCACACTGGGACACTGCTGTGTGCAATTGGCAATTGGCTGCCGCATTTCGGTCACAAGATCAGTTTGGATGAAAGAAGGCCCTTCGACCCAACAGATCTCATCCTCCCAGATTCCCCACCCTAACATTGCCCCTATTTAAACCCTTGTGTACCTCGGCAAGGTCCCCTCAATGTTGAAGAGCCCTGGTAGGATTATTAAGTACCTTCAGACATCACCTGATGTGAAAGGCGCTCTGTAAATGTCAATTTTGATTATACTATATTGTATTTACTGTAAAGTGTAGTGACCATGTATTTCGTTGTCGAACACGGAAGCTATTTTGCGCACAGAAAAGTCCCCCAAACACCCAGATAGAGTGACATGGCCAATTTTGCTGAGGGGATTGTCAGTCAGGACACCAGAAAAAACTCTTCTCTTTTCGAATAGCGCCGTAGAAACTTTAACAGGTACCTGAACAGGCAGACGGGACCTTGGTTTAACACCTCATCCAAAATTTGAAACGACTCCCTTAAGTTCTACTCAACTCCTCTTTGGTCTAATTGTCTCGAGGTGGTGCAGAACGCATGATTTAGCGACGTGTCATGAAACCTCATGTGAGGAGAGCGAGGAAATGAACCGAGGGCACTCGGGCTGGACGGTGTAGTGTTGATGGTGGTGAAGCCGGATTTGGAACAGTTTGTGCCTGTGCTGTGTGCAGTTTCTGGCAGTCGTACAGGTTCTCGCTGGTACGTAAGCACTTCTTGTTATTTTTAGTCCTTCATCAAAAATCAAATCAAAACTAGTTCACAGCAAAGTGCTTTTCCGGATTATTCCGCGGATTTCTGAGCGTCATTGATGTTTGTTTGGAAGGTATATTTCTGAGAGAAAAGCTTTTCCCGTGAGCTCGGATTTTACATTGCCGATGGCTCTGACCTTCGATTGAGACCTTAAACCGAGCTCCGGTCTGCGCCTGTTCAGGTGGATGTTAAAGATCTCATTGCGCTGGTTGAAAAGAGAAGGGAGTTTTTAAAGGCTCCAATATCCAGTCCTATTATTATTATTATTACCATTTAATTCTGAAACTCTCTCCCTCAATCCCTCCGCCTTGCCCCCCCTCTCCCCTCTTTCAAGTCCTCCCTGAAAGCTTTCTTCTTCGACCGTGCTTACAGTCACTTACCCCCCCCCACCCCCACCTCGCCTCGGAGTCAGGCTCCGCCACTGTTAAGCGCTCTGAGACGCTACCCTGCGTGGAGGGCGCTAAACAAGTGCAAGTTGTTGTTGTTATAATGAAGCCTCAAAGTGCTTCACAGGATTTTTACTGTAAAGTGTAGCGACTGTGCATTCTGTAGACCAACGCGGCAGCCAATTTTGGGCACAGCAGTGTCTCACGAACGGCTGTGAAGTGAGCGATCATTTTTTCCGGGGGATTTGTTGGCCAGGACACCGGGAGAGAAAAACTCCCTTCTCTTTTCAACTAGCGCCGTGGGATCTTTAACAACGACGACGACAACTTGCATTTATATAGCGCCCCTCACACAGGGCAGCGTCCCAGAGAGCTTGACATCCACCCTAACAAGCAGACAAGACCTCGGTTTAACAATTCTCACAACACTGCCCTGGAAGGTCAGCCAATACTGTCAGCTCAAAGCCCTGACATCAGGGTTTGAACCCAACACCTTCTGACTCAGAGGCAACAGCAGTTGGATCAAGGCACCAGACAGCCATTGAAACATCCCTAGTACGTCAGCAGAGCGACAAGTGTTCAGAGAAATCCTCCGCTCCTTGGAGACTGTCACAGGAAGCTTTGCTTCCCACGACAAGACACCCAAAAATTGCCGTGGGTTTTATTTGAGGGTTACTTAATTCTTTCCTGATTGCTACTGTATTTGAAAACGCTGGGAAATTTCCATGTCCAGGTGGCACCTACACACCCACACGCGCACCCATCTCAAGCACACGCACCCACCCACCCACCCGCATGCACACTCCTGCACACCCACCCACCCACACATCTGCACCTGCGAGCCCCAGGGCCAGCGCATCCACCCACCCACCCATGCATGCACTCGTGCACCCACACACGCACACACACACACACACACGTGGAACTCTCAGTCTGGTGTAGTGGTGTGTGTCAGACACCCGGCTGACCAAAATAAAAGTGGAGTGTTTGTTTGTGGAAAGGGGCACAGGTTATCTTAAGGGCTTATAAATTGAGCGTCTTTGAATCATCCACATCCTCCCACCAACCCCCCCCCCCACACATCCCATCCACCCATCCACGAGACCTCCGTGTCTCAGCGTTCTCAGCTGGGAGAGAGACCGGGAATGCTAAAGCCTTGGGATTCATTTGAGGTGGTGTTTGGTTTTGAGGTCTGGCTCAGAGCTGGGAGTGATCAACAGCGACTAATCTGAGTATCTGGACCCAAAGGACAGCAGTTTTATCAGTGTTGATGGTCTCGGGCCTTGCGTGGCTGCACACATCAATCCAGCTACACTTAGTGACCCGTTGGGCTTCACTCCAGCACTCCGTGATCCTGAAGTCAACCGCTCCCATCAAGGGGAGACCCTTCAAGAGTAAATGGAACAAGTTAAAGGTTACTTATGACTGGAACCCTGATCACATTATTAACTGAAGTCGTCGATGGGATAAATGGGGAAACACTGTTTGCAGGAGTGAGTGAGTGAGCGGCTACAGCTACCGAGGAAGATCGGACAGGTTGGAGCTTGGCTCAGTTGGTCGCACTCTCGCCTCTGAGTTAGAAGGTTGTGGGTTCAAGCCCCCATGTCAGGACTAACACTCCATTACTCTGCTGGGGGAGTGCTGCTCTGTTGGAGGTGCCATCCTTCGGATGAAATACAATAATATTAATAATAATAATAATCCTTGCATTTAATATTGGGCCTTATTACGTCAACGGCAAAAAAAAAAGCTTCACATAACATATTGTAAAGTGGATTGACTCTATATTTTATGGGCAAAACATTAATAAAATATTAATCCCCCAAAAAGTTAATAAAATATTAACTGAGGTCCCGTCTGCCTGTTCAGGTGGAACATCAAGGATCCCATGGCACTGCTCGAATAGAAAAGGGAGTTTCTCTCTCCCGGTTTCCCGGCCAACAATCCCCCAGGTAAAAATTAATCACTTATTTCCTGGCTGTTTGTGGTACGTTGTTGTGTACAAATTAACTACCGTGTTCTCCTACAAAACACACAGTCACTACACCTTACTGTAAACAGCATTTCATGGCATCATTCCTGTATGAATGCAAG